CGCCCAGGCAAATTCTCTATCGTATTAAACAGTTTAAACTTCTTTATAACAGACTTTATCATAGATCTAGGGATAGTCAATCTTTTTGAAATAGGGTTATAACTATTTCCCAGCTGGTGGAATTTAATAATTCCATGTCTCAAGTCAACACTAAGATCCTTTGTCTACCCCATCGTGTTTTTTTAACGTAAGAATAAGAATGGTGACACTCTATGCACCACGTGATGTTCTTGGCTGGAATTATCACAACTTTTCTACAGAATAAACAGTGTAAAAGGCTTACTCATACTTACATGATTAAATCAATTTAAAACGATATTTTCTAATGTACGAATAATTTTGTCATTTCCTATTTTTCATAATTTGCCTGTCACATTTGTTAACGAATTCTTCTGAAAACTGAGTTTCGTATTATTTTTGTTTATGCTTATTAACATTTAAAAAAACCTAGCCTTATATGGGCATTTGATTCTGAGAAATGTATAAAAATATTCAAAATTGATGGCTGTACGAATGATTTTTCGTTGTCTATACATACATATATATATATATATATATATATATATATATATATATATATATATATATATATATATACATATACATATGTATAGGTGTGTTATGTATATGTATATATATATATATATATATATATATATATATATATATATAGAGAGAGAGATTTATATATATATATATATATATATATATATATATATAATACTGTATATACGTTTGAATTTGTAAATATATGATACTATTTTAATATATTATTTATATTTATTTTATATCATGCACTTGAAAAACACACACACACATCTATACCTATCTATCTGTATGTATGTATTTATGCATATCTACTAATATGGATATATTGTTTTTCTGCATAAGTGTAAGATGTATACGTTGATGTTGGTCTGTTTACATCTCTTTCTCCTAACATGTAAGTAAATGTGCAAATCTATACGAAATTCGTCCAGTGTCTCTTTGCATATGTTGAGGCGTAATGTTTTGCTTATCTCTAGGATATATATATCAAACTTGACAATTTCAAATTTTTATACATGTCAGTATATATATATATATATATGTGTGTGTGTGTGTGAGATATATATATATATATATATATATATATATATATAAGCAATAGATATATGTATGTATATATATATAATATATATATATATATATATATTATATATATATGTATATATATATATATATATATATATATATATATATATATATATATATATATATATATATATATATATATATATATATATATATATATATATATATATATATATATATATATATATATATATATATATATATATATATATATATATATATATATATATATATATATATATATATATATATATATATTCGTGTGTGTGTATGTGGTTGTTGGTGTGATTGTGTGTTCCTGTAAATATATTTATAAATATATATATTTATTGATTTCCCCTTACAGTTCCTGCATATAATTTTGAATAATCTGATATATTTAAACAATACATATATATGTATATTCCTATTTGTATATATGTTTTTATGCACATACACACGTCTGTCGGTGCTCATGCGTATGTATGCGTCTTTTAAAAACTTAAAAGTGATTCAGAAGACTATATTTTTGTAGCATCGATATCACTAAGCAGAAAAGAAGGTAAATGTCATTATTATTTTTTCGTTTATTTCCCTACTCTCTGCATAAAATCTGAGTCCTTATTTAAGAAAGAAAACTGAAGTTTATTGTAAACAATTCGGACTTTTTTTTTTCTTATTCGGGCAAATATTTTCTCTTTTGTTAATGATTGTAAATGTGACTGACGATTTTCATAGGATACTCAATGACAGCCGTTATCCTGAATATCCCGGCATTCTCTTCAGCCATCTTACAGATTTCAACAATATTTAGTCAAAACAATTGCAGTTCTTCCTGGGATTTCAAATTCTTTCGTTCTTTTTACAAAATTATTGAAAACAATTCCATGCACTTCATAAATTAAGTCTGAAGTTATCGTATTCATAGACCACGTCTTTTTCTCAATCATCTGATATCTACATAGTTTTTCAGATTCAATTTCATGAGTGGTCCACTGGAATGTATACCATTTTTATCAAATAGATATTTGTTTTCATCTTTGTCTTAAATTATTTACTCTTCCGGCTTGGATTGGTTGGTCCGTTTGATTTTCGAAATCTTTAAAAATTTTTATTATTCTATTCTTCATGTCAATTTCCCGTCTGTACTAATATAATTTATCGCCATTATTAAACCCAAGATTTTTGCACAATTCATTCGCAGTGATTCAATGTTCCTACCCAACTGTGTTTTATTTTCATATTTCGTCTGAACTAATTTCTTACATACATTTTATATAAGAGTTACATTCTCATTCCAAAAAGGTGACAGCTGCTATCTTCTCGTATTCTGTTTAGATTTTGAATTTGGTGTAATTCATTTAAGTATATATAGTCTAACATTACTAACACTTTTTCTCGTTCTCTTCTCAACCATTGCGCTTAGTCTGCAATTCATTTTGCTTTTCTATTTTTTTTTTCTTCTCTTCATGTTGTTTTGGGGGAGAATGGGGTATTTTAATCATGTGACACTTTTGATTTTGTTTTATGTTTCATTTTATTTATATTTTACATTTTCTGGTTGTTACGATTATTCAACAGCTATTTCTTCGATAGCTGACTCTACACAATCTTCATTTTTATGACTCCTCTTGAGATCCCTTTTCTTTTTAATGAATATATCATTGTCTTTATGTACAGTCTGAAATTTTCAAGTTTTCTTAACCATACATTTCATTTCTCCTCTTATCTATCTCAGAAAATTTCCAGAATATTTTAATTTAGATATCTAAGGCTCTTTGATAAAATTTCTGATTTGTTAATTTTTGTCTACAAAGTTTTTCTTCCCCATTTGAAATATTCTTTTCCAGCGTTTAATTTCCTTCGTTGTCTTTTATTATATTTAATGTTTCGAAGATTTCTTTGTCGTTGCATTTTCTATTTAATACCACCTAGTTAATGTGGACAGTCATCATGAATATCCGACTCTCGACTGCTTAAGTGACCGGCGAATTGATCCAGAGTAGAAGAAAGACTGATTCTTCTTCCTCGTGACCCTTTCAGTAGGATTTCATATCGCTTGGCAGCAGACATCTTCTCTCCCGCCGAAGACCATGGTGTGGGTCGTCTTTAGTCAGGCTATAATATCTATTCTGCCCTGCTTTTTATCCATGTTTGGAGGAGAAAGATCCAGTGTGCCCTGCTATTTATCCATAGATGGGGGATGGACCTATAAGAGTATTAGCACGTAAGTGAATATATTGGAATCGACCGGAATTCGAAATCGGCTCTTCAATTCCTCAACCGGAATCGCTATCCATTACTCCACCTTGCGTCTACTCAAATAAAGGGATCTTGTTGCCGTATTCTTACTAGAAATACGTCTCAATTCTCTTTCAAATTCCGAATTCTTTGATTTATTGTAATAACCAAGAAAAGTAGATTGACCAAGAAAAAAATTTTGAGGAATTTGCTGTTACGAAAGAAAACCAAAAAAGAAAATACAGAATATTAAGAACATTTTGGTTAAATACATGAAAGACACTGAAACTATGACAATAGTAAACAAGAAAATTGTTATGGTCCAAGTTCCTTGTAGCACGGTGATGGTCCAAGTTCCTTGTAGCACGGTGATGGTCCAAGTTCCTTGTAGCACGGTGATGGTCCAAGGTTAGAACCAATGAAAGAATAACACGAACACAGGTATGGAATACAAAGATATATTACAACAGAAAATATAATACAAAGAAGTAAAAGTATTAGTAATGACTATCAGATTTGGTTAGTGTGAACGATGTTGTCTCGACAAGTATCACTATTCCAATGTCCTTACAATATGCTCTCAATTATCTCTCCTCGTCTTACAATATCCTCATAACCTCTTGAGAGGCGCAGTATTTACAATGCCAGGAATAGTCCATTATTATTATGCGTAAGTTCCCATAACAAAAATGATTTCTCAAAAGTACGGAATCTAAACTGAAAGCATTCATTTGTGACAGAATAGACTAATTTTATGTTTAATGGATTTTGTTTGTTTTTTTTTGTTTTTTTTGGGGGGGGTTTGGGGGGGTACTAATTTCTTTGTTGTCATTATAACAACGCTTCAGTTTCTGTCTTCCTAGTAATGTTTTCTATCTTTCTCCTTTAGGCACTTTTACATTTAACATCGTCAGAACGTGGTCAATACATCATAAACTACGTTTCCCATACAATAGATTCCTCTTTTTTTTATCACATCTAGTACATAATTAACACTAGGTTTGTGTTATTTTACGCTTGTTAAAACATTCTCTTTCTGTTATTCAGGGTGTTTACATGACTTTTCTTGAATTATTCTTGCTTTTATTGCCCAAAGAGATGTCTTTATCTTGACAGAACTATTTATAGCTGCTATGTGCACTGCGCAATCAACAATTTTATGAATAGGAATGCTGTTACCAAGATAATGCTACAAATATTTTATCCATATAAAGACTATTACAAGTATAGTATTAGCAAGTATTTTGTCGACATAAAAACTCCTATGGTTATCACGTTGCAAACACGTTATTGATATAAAACCTGTTAAATGTTGATTGCAGCCAAAACGCTATTGATATAAAATGTTTACGGTTCACTATTTTCAGGAACCTAAACACATGGTTTTGATATTCAAACCTGAATATTTTAAAGCGTTGTACATATTGCAGTGGATATTTCGATAAAGTAGCAGAAACTTTATTTTCTCTTCGCCTGCTGGATATAAATGGACACAAAAAATGGATACAACTAATTGGGGTAGACTATAAAGTGAGTTAAGTCATCTGAGCTAACTCACTAGTACATATACACAAAAAACTGTAACATGGTGTGCGGATGGTGAAATGGATAACGGCTGGAGATCGAAGAGCCGATTTCTAATCCTAGCCGACTTCGTTATATTTACTTACATTTCGAAAAGGTATAAATCCAACTCTTCTCTCCCATCTATGGGTTAATCAGTAGGACATGTATCATTAAGCCATTATTATCTTCACAAAATTTTTACAATCTAAAAATATTTTGGAAATAATAATGGCTTGATAAGCCGTAAAAACAAATCAATTTATTTTAAAAAGTTTTTTCGTGTAAAGTGTTAAAAATTATTGTAATTAAGATGTTAAGCTGTTATGGTTAGTGTTAAAATTATTTTATCGATACAAGTGCATTGTTACAAATATTTTATTAGTATGAAAACTGTAACAAGTATAGAGTTATCAGTCGTATTACTGGCACAGACATTTATTCACGTGTACTTATCAATTAATCTAGTGAGGTACAGGGTACCTCGAGGCGGTGTAATGGTTAGCAAGCTTGTCTCGCTAGAACAATTACAACTGAGTCGTGAGTTCGATCCTCACTGGGTGCCCCATACTTTCGGCCTTGTGCCACATCTAAGCTACCCTTGGAAAGTCGCTAATTTAGTGAGATATAAGCTGTTCTCATTAAAGTGTTTCATTTATTTCATTGGAATATTAGCTGTTACGCGTGTACTTTGCGTAATTGTTTTATTGGGCTAAAAGCTCTCAGTATCACCATTTATGTTATCGATAAAAACGTTGTTACGAGTGCACAGTTAAAATTATTACACAGTGATGTTACATGGAGTATTTTACAATTATTGTATCCATATAAAAACTGTTACAAGACATAGTTTTATGTTGTTATTTTCATTTCCATTTACATGTGGTATTAATTTTAGTTGTTGGTGCTGTTGAAATTAAAGATGTTTATATTTTTGGTTTCAAGATCATTCTTATCCCAACTATGAATATCTGTGTATGTGTGTCTGCGCGTGTTATCCAGAGAACAGTTATTACGGGTATAGTTTTACAAATATTTTTATTGTTAGAGAATATATTGTTTATGCTGTTAACAATTATCTTATTGGGATAAATTTGCTACGAGAATTATTAGTACAAAAACTGTTGTCGGTGCCCGTGAGATTACCGAAGTTAAGCAACGTCGGGTTTGGCCAATACCTTAATGGCTTTCTGCTTGGAAATACCAGATGTTGTATGCTTAGATATACGGGTGAAGGGATGGATAATGAGTCGGAATTGTTATCGGTGAACCGAGTTCCAATTGCCGGGCAGATACCATTGGGAAAGCTATCATCCACTTCATCCCCGCAACTACCAGTTAATTAGTAAAACTTGTATGACTAAATCATTATCATCTCAAAAGAAATTCTTAAAATCTAAAAATATGTCCTGGCTTTAAATAACCATCTAAGGGTTGATAAGCCGTAAAAAACGAGTCATTCAATCAATGTTACCTATTATTTTATCGGGATATAAGTTGAAGCTGTCATTATAGTGGCACCAATTATTTATATCCATATAAATCAATCAATGTCCGTTTATAATCTATCTATCTATCTATCTATCTATCTATCTCTTCGATGGACACGGTTTCTTCCAGCAAAGTAACGAGGTATTAACCTAGGGAAATTATATATTTAAAATATTCAATGACTCCAAAATGTCGGGTAGCCACCATCATGCAAGCAAAGGATGAACTATATTCTTGTGCTATTCCAAGAACTCTAGAGGAAAATTCAAATTCTACATTCTCTAAATTCTCTTGCAAGATCAATTTTGCCATAAGTTCATTTTCTTAAAATTTTACCTCTGTAGTATAATTTTGATTTTGTTTTAGTAATTGCCGTTGTTTGGTTTTTTATACCATTTGTATTTCACATTGGTTTTATCACACCAAGAGCAAACAATAATTTTTACTTGAGTCCAAGTGATGGCAAAACTCCTCAATATTCCACAATTCTTCTAACTGATTTTATCAGCGTTCTTAGACAATCTCAATCCATCGTCTGATAGATAATTATCCCAGTCATTTTAATCTGCTTTGTGGCAGTTCCCGACCCTTCGATAACGACTTGAACGATTTTCATTTTCATGCTCGCTTTATAGCAATGTCGACATAATTAACCAGTTCGTCACGTTCCTTTAGATTTAATGTTTACTTCTGGAACAGCGAAATCCACCGAGGCGTTCTTTTGTTCTTGTTTACAACTACGAGGATCAATCTTCTAATCTAGACTGCGTAATCCACTTGAATCCTAAAGTTACAAAAGAATTATTATACGTTTAATTCTCTAGCATAGACTATATTCATAGAATATAGCATTGATCTGTCTTTTTAAATACAATTGTTAGCATATTTCCCAGAGGATCAAATTCAATATCAAATATTTCTTCCTGTTGCTTTCTACTACATTCAATTTATTCACTTATAATTTTGCTTTCTAACCAATATTAATGGGACTAAAATATGTTCTATGATATTAATTTCACTACCTCATATTTAACTGCATGTTTGCTGGTCATGTGAGAGACAATTGTCAATTTGCCTTAAGAGATTTATAGGCTGAAACAAATATTTGTAATTAACCGTGGTAGAAAGGCTAGCAAATCTTAAAGGGACTGCTCAAATAGGCTGTTTTTTAACATCTCAATTTCTCTTGTCTTTAAGAATAATTGCTTTTAATTTTAAATGCTTTTTCTGATTTGTATATTTGTCAGATCAAATGCTTTCGGAACGTTCAAAATGACATCAAGAATTCTTTCATGAGTCCCTTAAATATTCTATCATCATATAATTCCGTAATATTTGCCTCTGAACTCATTATCAGTTAAAATCTTCGTAAGATCACACTTACCAGACTTATTCTACATAGGTCGTCTGTGTCATCTGATAGATAGATAGATAGATAGATAGATAGATAGATAGATAGATAGATAGATAGATAGATATACATATCAGTCACTTCAGTATCATTTTCAGTTATGATGACTTTTCACACCAGCTCTCTCTCTCTCTCTCTCTCTCTCTCTCTCTCTCTCTCTCTCTCTCTCTGTGTGTGTGTTTTTTTCGGTCACATCAGGTTGAAACACCGGTTCTCGTACGATCACCGAAGTTAAGCAACGTCGTGACTGGTCAGTACCTAGATAGGTGGCTGCTTGGGAATATCAGTTGATGTAAGGTTGGATGTGCGGGTGGTGTCATGGCTAATGTTAACCAGAGAGATAGTTCAAATCCCTGTTGGGTTAGTTATACTCGCTAATGTGCAAATACACTTGAAAAAGGTATATATCTTCTCCCCCAGGTATTGGTTAATTAATAGGACTTGTATCGCTAAATCATTATTATCTCAGAAAAATGTCATAAAATCTCAAAGCTTTAAATAACCTGCAAAGGCTTGATAAATATTAGAAAACAATCATTCATTCAATTTCCCTCTGTGTGTATATATATGTGGGGGGGGCACCTCGAGGCGGTGTAATGGTTAGCAAGCTTGTCTCGCTAGATCAATTACGACTGAGTAGTGAATTCGATCCTCACTGAGTGACCCCTACTTTCGGCCGTGTGCCACATCTAGGCTACGCTTGGAAAATCACTATATGTGTGTGTGTGTGTGTGTGTGTGTGCGCACGCGCGTGTGTGCGTGTGTGTGCGTGTGTACATATATATGTATGTTTTTATTCTTAAATGGTCTGGACACCTTCTCCGCTTAGAAGACTCACGCGTGCCTAAACGGGAAGTTAGCATATGGAAAACGACCACAGTGTATGCTCCCCACCCCCAATCGCTATAAAGACAATTTGAAGAACATACTCAAAAATACATACATAAATATAGACACCTGGGAACTACTTGTATCAGATCGGCAAAGATGGAAAAATATGATTGCTGCTGGTGCAAAGAATTTTGAGAGCAGTAGAAAAGAATATGAACGGCAAAAACGTACAGGCGGTTGTATGAGAGGCGTCAATCCTCTCCCAGAACACGCATCGAAGGAGTCTCTTACGTGTCATCAATGTGACTACGTTTGCCTTTCAAAAGCAGGTCTTCTCAGACACATGCGGGTTCATCGTAATGTCAACTAGCAATATGAAATTCACGATGATCATATATGTACAATCTGCCATAAATTGTGTCGATCAACCAGAGGATTCACAGTACATTTCCACAGTCTGCATCCAGAAAGGCAAGATGCAGCAGGAATACTGACATGTTAGCAATATCGGAAGAACTGCAAGACACTTGCAGGTCTTCAAAGCCATTTAAGATATCATCAATGATGAAGTGATGATAGTTAAAATGTGTGATTTTTTTTAAAATTGGGTAAAAGAGATGGCCTTACTCGGCAAAGTGTTGACTTCCACTATGTCTTTATACTAAGTACCTCCACTATTTCGGCATAAATTTTCTATATTGAAGTTTAAAATGAAATTTTACAATGAAAAAACATTCTTGAAGATTTCATTTAGCTTTAATTGAAAAGTTTAATAACTAAATTAACGATTTCTATTAATTAAACAATTTGGTGTATTTCAGATAGAAACTATATACATTTGATTGTCAAATTTAATTTCAAATTTTAAATTTTCTTAAAATGGCCATTTTCTTAATTTTAAGAAATTTGTAAACAAACACGAATTTATCGATTTTTAAAATATTTAAAAAAAAATTCTGACACGTTATTTTAGTAAAATTAAAAAATTTAAAGTTAAAGTAATCTGATTTCAAAGAAATCTTTGTTACTTATAGCAAAAAAATAATATAGAACCAATTATTAACGAGCGGTCCCGTTTATCTGTTCGATCTTATTGATAATGGTTGATTGACGAGCCGATGACAGCTACTACTGATGACCATAAATGACATAATTTTTTAAGTCTGAGTTTTTAAAAAAATTATTCTATTTGTTGAGTATGACACACACAATACAATATATAAAATAAAATTATTTAGTGAAATAGTAAATGAAAAAAAAAGAAAAATAATTTAAAATTTAAAGTTTACACTTTTGAACGGAAAATACAACTTATAAGAAACGAAAATTTTTTGAAAAGGCCACGTAAAGGACAAAACCCTTAGATCACGTGACCTTGTTATAATAATGGCAATTTCTGTATATCATACATGGAAATAAGGAATGTATTAATTAAAGAAATACAACATAAAAAATTATTTTTAAAAAAAGTAGCGCAACTAAATTTATTAAACTTAGCAATTTTGGATTCGTAAATTTATTTTCTACTTAATTAATACATAATATCGAGGAACCCTCCTAATATAGAGCTTTACACGATTTAAAACTATTATAAATTATTATAATTAAAATTTAAAAAAAACGAAAAAATTCTTGTAAAAATTAATTATTCATCAGAAAAAATTATTTCTTCAGACAATAATGTCTTTAATATTCCTAATTTACAAAAGCAATTAAAAGCTTTTCTAATTAAGTAATATCATAGTTTTATTGATTCATTATTTTCAATTCAGAGCAGATTTTCAGTTAAATAGCTCAAATTTGAAAAAAAAAGTAGGTTATTTACCATCTTCGAAGACTCCTACTTTTAACAAAAAAAAATTCAGGAACCAAAAAGGTTTTGGGCGAAATTTCATTAAATTAAGTAAATATGGGGTAACATATTTTAAAAAATATAATTTTACCAAAATTTTCTAAAAAAAACATTTCAAAAAATAATTTCATTCATTTGTGAATAAGTCCTGAAAATTTCATTAAGATTGGACAATTATTTTATTTTTACAAGAATTTCCAAATCAATATGTTTTCAACGGTAAAAAACAAAAAAACAATGTTATTTTAAACGTCACCGCGATGACGTAAACAAAGACGACTTTAACCAAAATTTCGAACGTGTTAGAAAATATTAAAAATTTCAAAAAATAATTAAAATATACTTTTTTCTTTCATCTAAATAATAACATAAGCATTTTGACGATAATACTTTATTTTCTTTAAGTTTGTGGCATTTTTCATTTAAGCTATGTTGTTTTTCCGCGAAAACAGTGGACATGCTTACTTTATACACAGACGCATACCGTCGATATAATAGATTCTAACTGTAGCTGAAATTCTTATTGATAGGTATCAGGAAAACTGTACTGACAGAATCTAGATCAGCATCGTAAACGTTATTTTTCTTCTTTAGTTCAAACCTGACAAATACGAAAGAAGATAAAATGCTCTTAATTTCAGCTGTTAGTCAACAACAGGCACTCAAAACTCAGACTCGCAAACGCTAACTAAACACCTTTGTCATCGACCCGAAATAATGCATCGCAGATCTATGTTGATCTATCATAATAGATGTGTCCGTTAGGATGTTTGCTTTAGGTTATTTTCTATTTAGGTTTAAGCTATTACTAATGTTTTCGGCTTCGTGTATATTCTGTGCTAAAACGATTCATTTGACAAAGATTTTTTTTCTTATTTTTTTGTGACAGTAGAATTTCTTTATATCGCGGCTTAGGCTGCTCTGTTCACGTTACTGGTGCTAGCATCCAAGACACCACAACCACAATAATTGGCCGATGGTAGCAGTTGTCGAAATACCAATAAATCTATTCGTTATTTTCCGCCTTTCTTTTCTCGTTTTCTCTTTCTCGCTCATTTTATTTCTTCAGTTATGAATATATATAGAAAGAAACTGAGAAAATTATCTTTATATGAATGACTTTGTTTCATGATCATATAAGCACCTTATCTTAACGTAAGATGGTGTTTGATTCCAAAGCGGAGGCGATTTTTTGAAGGCCGATATTATATTTTAAGAAATTTCCCTCTAAAAATATCAGTTTTACACCAATGTATTTTCTATCTCAAGATTTTTTTAAGACGTGTTCTTGTTATTAGAATATTGTGATGCAATTATTCTTCTGACTTTGCATCTTCACTTCATTTAAATTTCAAAAAAGATAATGTTGTGGATTCCCGGATGAAATCCGGCCTCAAATGAATGACAAACGCAGGAATGAAATATAGCAAAAAAATGTATTAACGCAATAATACAATTGATAATACGGTTAGTAGATCCAGAAATGCGGTTAGTAGCAATAATAATATATATAGTCTGGGAAATTCAGTATCGAAGTATGACTTCCTTCTGAGTCTACGTGCTCGCAACTGTGACTCCTACAAAGCGGTTACCTCACACTCTTACTCTCTCACTGTTCACTGTATCACTCTATCCGTGTATCTCTCTATCAGTTTATCTCTGTTACTCATTCTCCCGGGTATTCACCGGCAGCAGTACAAGTACACACTGGTTGAGTCCACGTGTATGATAAAGGGGTGGACCCCATAACATATAATATGAGGATGAACGTCACAATGAATCAAATAATAATAGTAATAACAATACTTTTTTGTTAAATTCCAATAAGAAATACCTACAGTAAGACGGACCGGACATCAGGAATAAATGGAACCAATTGGAAAACAAGATAGACAGAATATAAACCACCTACACATAACGAAGTATCTGCTGAGTTTTAAAGTTAAGTACATTAGGCAAATAAAAAGAAGGCTCGTGATTTGAGCGGCCGAAATCAAGTTGGAGATACAAATTTATAGGATAAAAGTCTATAAGATCCCTTCAAGTTGAAGATAAAAGTATAAGATCCCTTCAAGCTGAAGATAAAAGTCTATAAGATCCCTTATTTATAGCGTTGCATTTGTAAACATTGCAATGTCAAGAAAATCTTCACCTTTCTCGTTGTGTCACTCTGCCAAATTAGTTTCTAATTCCTCAACAAATATTTGACAATACATATCCCAAGTATAATCTATTTTTACGCTAAATCTTAGAGTTCATGTTATTGGATAACCGCTTTATTGCATCATCAACTATTTTCTCCTACTATATATATATTATTTATTGATCATAAATTGTTTTTTATACTCCATCCACTTCAGGATCTATTTCATTATACAAAGAAGAGCGATCGCTCCATTTCTTTCAGCCAATGTACCCTAACCTAAGTTTAACTAAAACACAGACATCAATATGTTTATTATTTTCATCAGTGTTGATCAGTGTCTACCTAAAATTTGTGGAACATAGGCCGATAATAACAGCTTGAAAATGTTTTGTTCATCTGAAATTTTCACAGTATAATGTTTGATCTGCGTGATTAATAGAGAAATAATGGATTAAGTGTGTGACAAG